GCCTCTAGAGGACGGCCGGCCTGTTTCCCTGCCATGAACAGGGGCGGAGGCAATGCCGGGCGTTGGCACCGAAGCGGCGGTGGTAGTAGCAGACCCCGGAAGGGCTCAGTGATCGCGTGTTTTCGCCGCGTGTACGATAAGATGTCGATTCGCCGCGTGCCCGACGAGGCGTCGAACGTCTGCGATGTGACTCACGAGGGTGGGGTGTGCGGCCTCGTGTAGCTGCGACGACGATCTCCTCTAAACGTCGGCAAAGCTGCTCGATGTTGGCCTGGGGAGGCTGGCTGTTGGCGGCCGATCCAGAGCCCAGGGCTGTTGGTTGCTGTGGAGCCACGGTAACATTGGCGACGGATGGAGTGGTCACCTCCATCACGGCGTCCGCCAGCGCGGCAAGTCCGGGGAGGTCCAACGTTGTTGCTGTTGCCAAAACCATCTGGACATTGGAAGGTAGCCTTTGCAAGAACAGCTCACGGAGGAATACGTCGTCCAGATTGTTAGAGCGCTCTCCAAGAAGCTGGGTCATGCGTCGCAGCAACTGGCTTGGCCGCCGGTCCCCGAGCTCTTCCGCCGAGAGAAGCTGCTGCACGCGGGTGCGTTCCGAAATCTCGGTGCGCTGGAGCAGAGCATTCTTGAGTTGGTCATACGGTGTTGCTGGGGAGGGATTTGCCAGAACGTCGTAGACTTCGTCGGCGGCAGCTGGTGAAAGAGCCGAGACGACGTGGTGGTACTTCCGACCTTGTGTGGTGACCCCAGAGAGGTGGAATTGTGATTCCGCTTGCAGGAACCAAACTCGCGGATTGCGGTCCCAGTATGGTGGAAGGCGGACTGCGGCTGCTGCAACTGTAGCTCGCGGCGGGTCCGAAGGCTCTCCTTGCTGCATTTCACCCGTTCTAGTTGGCGATCACGTCCGGGTCACCAAATGTGGTGAAAGAAACAGGCAGGAGACGGACGTTCCAAAACAACGTTCTATTTAAGGGGTGTCTCGTCAGGAACTGCTCTTCGTGAGCGCGTGAGTGCGTGAGCGTATAGCTAGCGCGCGCGTCTTTTTCTCTGTTTCCAGTGGCGAGACTGGACTCGCTTGTCGGTGCGTCCAGTCCCTAAATTAGCATGGTTAAGAAATTCCAGCTGCTGCAGTTAACAATTTAGCATTGAGTAGCCGACAATTTATCAATGTCTGGGTAACCGACTGGCCGCGTTAAAGGGGTCGTGCGAAAATGTTTAGACTTCGGTCAAATAACTGTGGTAGTTTTTTCCTGTCACGTCTGGATTAAAGGGGCGGTGCAACGATTTTCGGACTGATCAATTAACTGCAGGAATTAATTCGTGTTACCTGAGGAACGAGAGACAGAAAACCGTAATTTCTCGAGCGTACTCGTTTTTATTTAGAAAAAAATAAATAAACAAATCGAAGGTCAAGGTGCCTCTCAACCAGTGTTGTGCCCGTTACCAAAAATAAGTAACGAAACAGCGTTATCGTTAGCTTGGAAAAAAGCTAACGCGTTACAGAGCTCCGTTACCATTGAAATTCGATATTTCGTTACCAAATGTAACGAAATATCCGTGTCATTACTTGCCATGACTAATGGACGTTACATTTACGTTAGTTTGTCGTTCCTTTGTGTTTCACAGTTAGTATATGACAGCTGTTTAAAATAAACCGCCTCTATGAACTAAATTTCGACAGTTATACATTTGTTCAGAAAATTATTTATTTTTATTCTGCAGCCTGGAGAATTGCAGCAGAGGAGTGGGGTACAGATCACATTTATAGGTTGGAAACTCACACAAACAGCAAACGCCAGCAACCAACAATATAAGTAAACAATAAACAGAAAACAATAATATAATTTCGAAATTTCAATAACGCGAAAAATACTAACAAAGAAATTCACATTGCATTCATAAGGTTAATAAAAGATTCACTGTCGGCAGGATGTGCAATGTATATCCTCGAACACGTGACGCTTCGCCAGAGCGATTCAAAGCACCTGCCTGGGAAGAAGAAACCGTTTTGAAAAGTACGACCGGATGCACGCCATGTAAAAGACGCAAAATAGACATTTTCATGTAGTCAAGGTTAATCCGTTAAAATAAACGTCATTTTATGCCTTCACGAACCAAAGTCGCATTTCCAATTAACGACACGTCAGCACGCGGCCACCGCTGACATACTTGTTTGGTTCCAACGTGGGAACGTCAACGCTTCCAAACTTAGAGTTTATCCTTTCTGCTGTTGACAGAACGAGAATTTATTGGTTTTGAAGGAAAGGATGTGACCAGCTGGAGTAGCTAGGGACGGTGAGGCAGAATCCTTCAAGCGGCGGCAAATTGTTGCCTTCTGAACGGATGTCTCTTTCCAGCGAGACGGCTGTTCAGGGTACGATGGCGGTGATCTTAGCAGTTTCCTATACGAAGACTGCACCAAGGACGCTTAGGATTTCCCCGCAGCGATAATCTTGCGCCTTTTGGGCTCGGCCGTGGGAACGTGAAAAACGTCTTCCGAAGGAGTTTGAAATGACGCCGCTTATACATAGCTTTGTTGGGGTTTCTTTGCCACTTTTACGTAGTGTAGAGAATAAAAATTATTTTGTTTTCAAACGATCATGCGGCCATTTTTAATCAAAAGTAACGAGTAATGGGTAACGTAACTTGATAGGGCATACCGTAAAATAATACTAAACCATACTAAACAAGGAAAAATAGTTAAAAATATCCTTTAAAAAAAAATTGATGTTAAAATGGTTTATTTTTAGTTTCCTCTTGTATTCAAAGGCGTTTTTCGCTAAAATAACTCTCTTTGCTTATAATAATATTCTGATTGTTGAAAATGTATCTGTTTAGGCTTTCATTTGATATATAAGGTATGTAATAAAATTGAGCTTTACAAAAGTTATCATCATTCAAACCTGGTAAATTATCGCCAGAGGGGCCAGGTACTTGATTTTTTTTACAAAAATAAATGAAAGCAACTAAAGCTTTTATGAGTATCTTGCTCCTTCAATGAAGTTTAAAGAACCACGTAACACGCGTCTTCGTTGTGCGGAAGGTATCCGAGCCTGGAGAAGCTCCCAAATACGTGACCTGTGACGATTGCCCAAATTCCTAAATCCGTCTTTGGTCCTTTAGAAGTAAAATCTAAAAAAACTAAAATATGACACAAAAACGGTTTTCAGTTTCATCCTAGAGAATAATTTAACCAGTATATATTTTTTTCTCAAAATTTATTGGGGCATGATTTGTTTTCCTGCACGATTTGAAAAGTAGAGCACGGATTTTATGAACATTTTACTTGGTAAAAAGCAGGTGTCGAGTTTGCACCTCATACAGCAAGCACCTTAGTTCACAGCAACCCATAAAAATATAATAATTGATTTGAATCCCTGGCGGATGTTTCGGTTTTCTGGACTATATAGACAGGAGCTCCGAAAAAAGTGGGACAATCGATTAGGAATGAACTATTTTCAGACAGCTCTGGGCAAGTGTCGTGCTTAAAAATATTTGACGCGTGCGGGTCAAAAAGACTTCTACGAGCGTTTTTAGTGGCCTTAAACTCAAGCATTTAGTTACGCCTTATCGAAGTTATCGCCCCTGAATCATCATCTCCGCAGGATAATATAGACATCTTACTTTGCCGCGGAATTAACAAACAGCTATACGCGTATTAGACTTGTTTTCTCTTGCCTCTTAATCATTAATTGGTACCACACACCAAAATAGAATTTGCTACAATTAAGTGGAGTCAGAAATTAACAACGATGCAACGTGATCAAGTAATAAAAAGGAACGATAAAAGAAGGTTCACAACGAAGGGAAGGTGTCTCTTATATGTAGTTTTGAGTAAGGTCTCCCAAAAATAATCTAAAACCGTGAGGTATACATACAGGATGTTTAATTTTAACTCGAACAGATTAAAAACAAAAAAGAGAGGAGCGGGGGGGGGGGGGGGGGGGTGAGAGCTAGACGAGTGGCCATTTTCCCCATGTATTCATTAGGCTTGGTGTAAATTAGATAACAAGGTAATAGTCATGGTAAGACGACTAATTAACTAAACTCCGTTAATTGACCTTTTAATTATTGGTTATAGGGTTCATAATGTAATTGCAGGATTGATGGAAATTACTGTTAGAGGTCATAGCAATTAAAATATTTTGCAAAAATGTCAGGTTTCTTTAAATATTAATTGTTACATTTTCACATTTTTTGCGTGTGAATTCTTCTACCCCAATCTGAAAAATTGCGCAGAAGAAGCGCGCCTCAATTCCTGCCCAGAATGCCGCTTAGAAGAGTGACGTAGTACTTTTAATATTTTAATACTGTCGTCACTATCTCGGCAGTGTGCCCTTGGAGGGTACGCAGACGACAGAAGAGACGATGTGACTCAGACGACTACGTCACTCTCTGCGTCATTGTGGGAAGGACTTTGCACCTTTTGCGCGCAATTTTTAAATTGGGCTGAAAAACGTGATTGTATAAATCAATATTTAAAAAAAAACTATAAAACTTTTTGCAATTTTTTTTTCTTGGTTCGGCCTCTAATTGTAATTGCCGTCAATACTGCAATTACAACATGACCTTTAAGGCCAACTATTAGGAAGATAATTAGCATATTTTAGTTAATTAGTCGACTTATCATGACGATAATCCCTCATCTGATGTCCGCCCAGCCTGGGCGGACATTACATGAGGGTGAGGACACGGTGAAGACAACACTCGCCTAAATTTCACCCCTTCAAAAAATATGTTCGAATTAAAAGCAAACACCCTATATATCTTAAGATATAAAAAAGGTGACTAATGTATTGTTTGCTTACACGTGTCAAGGGGAGTACCCGATCATGTTTGGTTCTCTTTGCTCTTCGATATCAATTATTACGAAAATCATCTACCGCCAACTCAAAATATCCAAGTTGGTAGCACCCTCAGTACAGGACACAATGCATTATATAAGTAATAGTGAAATTAGAGTATATATTGTGGAAGCAAACTATGAGCCAACGTACTCGCAAGCAACTCGGCATTTGGTCGAGCAGTCCAGGTAGGGCTTGGAATTTCGCACTTTTCTAGTGCATATATCTGAAAAGAAAAAGAGATGTAGGGTTTTAGAATAATGCGAACAACTGAATCCATGTACATTAAATATTTTCTGTTTTGTGCTATTTCAGAGGAAAATAAACCGATGAAAATACCAGATTATTTCTCTTATATTAGCTAAAAAAAAGACCCAAATCTTATCGCCCCACAAAAAAAATAGTAATGATAGTTTTAATTTTTGTAAGAGTACTCTCAGAGTATACAGGTGCGATGATTTCATCAGAACTTTCTCGCAGAGAGTGAAAGACGAAACTGCAAAACAAGCGCCAAGGCATAGCCTCCTCTATAATGGCAAAGCCTGGCAGATCGCCACGAGACACGGCCGCCGATATTGAAAAAAGTAGAGCGGCAGACAACGGACGAGAGGAGAGCCAGGTGACGGGCGCCCCGCTGCGGTGAGTCGCCGAGATACACTTCTCCCGAGCGATGGAATGTCCTCTCGTGCTCCTCGCGTTCCTTGCGCTACCGCTTCTTTTCTCGTCGGGTTTGAAAACCATGTTTCGGGTCCTCGCCGCTGCGAAAGCTGTGCGCTGGATAACAGGTTCCCCGAAAAATGATCTCTGCTAGCAGATCCTCGCGTTCCTATACTGCGACCGGGCACTCTATGGCTCCGTCTGCAAACTGCCAGGTTTTGTGGGTATAGAGTAGACTATGGCCAAGAACACCCTTTACAGACCTGTGAAGGCGTAGATCGGCACGAGCGAAGAGCGTGTTCCGAACGCGGGCCAGCGCGCGCGAAATGCAAAGTTGCCGCGCGCAGAGCCGAGTAAGCAACGCTCGGTCACGGACTTCTAGAAGATTCGCATGGAATATTACTCGGTTCATAACTCTTATCGTTTCGTCCTGCTTTCTTGCTCTCAAAAATGCATGTTCATTCTCACCCCAAACCTTCGACGGTCGAACGTTCTGGGCAGAATTTTCGAGACACTGACGCACACTAGAAAAGGAGCTGCGCGGGACCCTGTCGAGTCAGTCTCCTTCTCGTTTGCTATTACGCCGCCAAATCACCGCCCGCCTTTCTGCTACCTCGCCGCTCGTTGTTTATTTTTTTTTTTGGCACAAGTTTGCTCATTAAACTTTCAATTTGTAAAAGAATTTTCGACGTTTCTGCTCCTGTCATTCGCGACAATATGTCAGTCTTGACCACTGATCTCTATTGTGGTAGGCTAGATCGCGGATCGGGAGACCGTTGATGACACCGCCGGTGGCCATTGCTTGACAATAGGAAATACATGCAAGTCTATGGAAAAAAACACACACAAGTAGAAATATTGAAGCTTGTACGCGGTGCTGATGGCGAGTATTTTATGATGTACTGCGTCTATTATATGGGGCGGTTGGAAATCGAATCGGTATTCGATCTAGCGTTCGAACGCCGATAAAAACATCAAATGTGCCGGAGTACCTCCGACTGTGCCGGCGTGATTTGCTTCAGTTGCTAAATAAATGGCGAGTACAGCAAATGAACGACGCGCTCCGGGTTTTAGGTCATCAAAGAAGCCCTCACCGCAGTTCAAAGCAAAAGCTTGCACCAGAAGTATACCCAGTACAAGCACTTGAAATAATGCAAGTGTCCCCAGTAAAAGCCCTCTAACGCATTATTTGCTAAGGTCTGATGATTTCGAAATCACGACCGACTCCACATTGACTCTAGGCAACCCTTGTTTCATTGAACCGCATCACAGTTTACGCTCAACAAAGTCGCAACCATCGACCCTCAACCACAAAACATTTATTTAAAAACAAATTGGTAATCTAACGCTTTTAATATTTGCCCCCAGAGTATTAACTGTCGTTCCCCGAAAACGCGATAAAAGTTTCATCGTCGAGGACAACCAATTGAGGTACGGAATTGCAGTCTTCCCCGTTTCTCCCTTAGAGTCCCATGCATTAGCTGGTAACAAGCAATGACTGCCGGGGGTGCCGCTCGACCCCAGCAAGACAATCCTCGATCGGGAGTCCGAATGTGGCACCACCGGCGGCCATTGCTTGAGACAAGGCAATATATGCAAGTCAATGGGAGGAATGAATAAAATGAACTTTTTGAAGCTTGTATGAAGAGTCTTGTAAAGAAATTTGCATGAGTGCTCGCAGGATTAGTAAGACGGAATTCGCAGTCGCCAATGACTGTTGAAAAAATCATTAAATAACACAAAGAGCGTGTCAATCTCTGTCGTCTGCTATCCTCGATGGGTTTGAGCAAGGTTCCACTGGCCTCCAGCGATCTTTTCTCAAGATTAATGATTCGAACTAAAAATAGAAGTGATGGAAACAGAAACAGTCAGAACCAAGGTGGCATGTTCGGCGTGCAAGCTGTATCAAGACACAGAGTCACACAATCTGTCACTCATGGCGTTCCTCGCGCTCGTTGGAAACACAAAAGGTGCCTCAAACGCAATCTGCAATATTTCGTAAGTAAAAATATAAACGTAAACATCAAAGCAAACCTTTCTGACTGCGGGAATGACTGCCTGACTGTCACTGATTGCTCGGGGGCCCGAGGAAGAAGTTATTGAATGATAGAAAATTATTTTTACCCTACAACGTTAGTGTAGGAAGTCACCACACAAAAATTTCTCACTATTTCTAGAAATGTTCGCCAAAATTTGGTCCACCAAGATATGATACAAATTATAAAAATCTCACTTATTCACGTTTTTTTTTTTTCATATGGTTCAATGCATTTGCTGGTGTCAAGCAATGGTTACCGGTGGAGTCACTCGAGCTCAGCAAAACAGGCCATGACATGCGATCCAGCCTGCTACGGACAATAGATATCAGTGGTCTTAACCAAATATTCACGTTGTGTAGTTGCATTCTCTTTTGTCGTCCACTTCATTTTTCGCATTCACATGCGATTGTGAGAACTCGGACTACCAAAATACGGATAGTAAAGAAATATTAAAACAAAACGTAGTGAAAAAAAAGAATATAGGTTCTAATCATGTCGTATTACACCTGAGACTGCGGTGGAAGAAATCGGAAGAACTTTCAGTAGAAGGAACAGACACAGAGAACGTCTCAAACTCAGCTAACTGGTTTATTTCTCAAACAGCCTTTAAGTACCCACGGAACTTTTTCCCAACCACACTCTACAGATAAACTCCTTTGTTGCAGACATTGTCTGCAACATTGTATGCAGCAAAGGAGTTTATCTGTAGAGTGTGGTTGGGAAAACGTTCTGTGGGTACTTAAAGGCTGTTTGAGAAATAAACCAGTTAGCTGAGTTTGAGACGTTCTCTGTGTCTGTTCCTTCTACTGAAAGTTCTTCCGATTTCTTCCACCGCAGTCTCAGGTGTAATACGACATGATTAGCTACCACCAGCTCGCCTGCACACTCACCGTCTTTTCAATATAGGTTCTATTCGATAAAACAATGCATGCCGTGTCCAGTTGACATTTTTTTATTATTATTATTCGTAATATATGCTACTCTCCAATATACGGAGGAAAGAATATCACAAAAAATATTGAAATATATATATATATATATATATATATATATATATATATATATATATATATATATATACATTTTTTTTTTAAGACTTCATCAGTGCGCCAGTCAACTTTTGGCGTGTTGTCATTTTTTTCTGCTTTTGATTGCACGTAATATACAAAGTACAAATGATGAAAAAACTCAAATATATTACAATGCATAGTGATAGTATTCATAATAATTTCTACAATTCTGGAAATTATTTATCGCGTGTCTAATATACACAAACCTGGCTAGTTTTACATTTTTACTCTTCTCTTTTTGATTTATTATTTTGTAGTGTTTTTTAAGGTATAGCCATTGGAATTTTATTATACACATAAGGGTGTATTGTCTTAATATATTTAGTTTCTCTAGTATATAAATAAAATATTTACAGCGCTTCAAGCATGCCCAAATTTAAAACGTTCCGCAACTTCAACGTGTAATTAAAAACAAAAAACTCCATATTTGAGGTTTCTTTGATTAGGTGAAGCATTTACATTAAATTGCCGCGTTTTTTCATTGAAATGCTGCATTATTCTGTCTCCGGATAAAATATAAAGCTACGAAACACACACACTGGCTACTTCTACATTTTTACGCAATATTGCTGAGCTGAATTATTCTCTCAAATATTCTTTACACGAGGATCTATATTTTAGATGTAAATTGTTGCTCTAGTTTATACACGAAACTATTGACCCCGCTTCAAATATGTCTCAAAGTAAAACGTTCCGCAAATTCAACGTGCAATTAAAAAAAAACGCTTTTTTTCTTCAAATATTTGTAAAGGTTTTTACATTGCATCGCCGTGCTTGCGCATTAAAAACATAGTGCATTATTTTGCCTCCGTCAAAACTTCTGCGCTTTGAAATGTACCTTCCAGGCCGATATTTCTGTCGCGGTTCTCGGCCTAAATTACTCCTCCGTTGTATAAGAAAGTTCTCGTAATGTTCCTTTTTTTTGTACCCAAGTTCATATTTTAGATACCCGACACTATAAAAACCCCAATTACGTGCATCTAGAGGCTCCCGGCAGTAGCTTGAAGCTAACACAATCATCCGTCATGTGACGAGCCCGCCTTCCTGCTTGTTCCACAGGTCGCTGCTCGGTATACGTGTAAACAGAAGCGTAACACACCGGAAAGGAACGAACACACCTCCGCTTGGGTTCTCCTGGTACGAAACCGAACACAACATCTTAGTGGAACCGAAAATGAACACTTCACTTTTTCGAATAAATTTACGCGTTTACCGAGCACGGACCTACGAAACAAGCACGAAGGCGGGCTAGTCACACGACGGGTGCATTTTGATGCTTCAAACTATACTGCCGGGAGTCCTATATACTACTTACTGGGTGTGTTTGTAGAGTTAGATATCTAAAGTTTGTAGTTGGGGACAAAGTAAAAAAAAATAATCTAAGGAGAATTGTTTTTTATACAACGAAGGAGTAATTAAGGTCACCGACTTCGACAGAAACGTCGGTCTGGAAGGCACAT